TCTATTAGCGATTATGTTCATTTACCTGGGTTCTAAGGTATATAAATTCCTTTACACGTTTGAATGTGTATGGACGTATTTCATATAGTTTGTTTTGGACGTATTTGCCTGTTGCCCTTATCTACCTGCTGCCCCTTCCAATTGCTTTGAAGGCCTCTATGAGGTTCCTTTTTATTCTAGCTATTATATCTATGTCGTCGGCGTATGCTTGTATCCGTACGCTTCTATTAATAATGTTTCCTCTATTTGCTATACTTGATTCTCTTACAGCCTTCTCCAGAACGATGTTAAACAGTAGGCATGATAGGCTGCTCCCCTGGCGTAGCCCCACACCTGTTTGAGAGGATAGTGGGAAATTGAATTCTTTATTGCGTTATACTGTGACCTTCTATCTACACTATCATAGCCACTTTAAAATCTACAAATAAGTAGTCGGTGTCCATTCCGTTTTTGTAGGTTTTTCCTATGGCCAAAGAAGGAAGATTTGTAACATAACAAAAATTTTGAAGTAATTCATCGCTTTCCTCTGCAATGTAGGATTAGGTTTTAAATCGAGCAGTAATGTTTGAATAAATTGTGTAAAATTCTAAGGATATAAATTTCCTACAAGTATTCTTAAGCCTAAGTTGATCTTTCAATACAAAATCTCATTTGTATGAAGTTCAAGATACAGTAATTAAGGTTGTCTTTTCTAGATACAGCAGAAAACCTATTGATTTTGATGGATTGTACAATATTTGGTTCTTCATAAAGGCGGTACAACTCAAAATTGTAACGCTATCTTTCTTTTAAAACAGCCCAACAATTTTACGTCATTTTTTGTCATCGTCCATGTTTCTGATGCATACTTGGGGACTGGTTTTCGTTTTGTATTTTAGTACCTTAGCTTTGTTGGTTATTACGCCTGACTTTAATAGTTTTCTCAGTGCAAAGTAAGCTCTATTAGCCATATACAGTCTTCTCCTAATTTCTGCAGTCATTGTTATTTTCATTAACCTGGGTTCCAAGGTATATAAATTCCTTCCAATGCTTTGAAGGCCTCTATGAGGTCCTTTTTTACGCTAGCTATTATTTATATCTATGTCGTCGGCGTATGCTTGTATCTGTACGCTTCTATTAATAATGTTTCCTCTATTTGCTATACTTGATTCTCTTACAGCCTTCTCCAGAACGATGTTAAACAGTAGGCATGATAGGCTGTCTGAAAGGATATTGATAACTTAATTTGGACCTTCACCTTAGTATTGGGATATCGAATTCTTTATTGCGTTATACAGTGACCTATCTATACTATCATAGGTACTTTAAAATCTACAAATAAGTAGTCGGTGTCTATCCCGTTTTTGTAGGTCTTTCCTAGGGCTTGCCTAAGAAGGAAGATTTGTAGCAATTTGTAACATAACAAAAATTTTGAAGTAATTCGTCGCTTTCCTCTGTAAAGTAGGATTAGGTTATAAATCAAGCAGTGATGTTTGAATGAATTGAGTGAACTCAATGAGCTGCCGTTGAGTTTCTTATTTGGGTCAAATTCTAAAGATATAAATTTCCTGCAAGCATTCTTAAGCGTAAGTTGATTCATCCAACACAAGATCTCATACGGATGAAATTCAAGATGTCTTTTCTAGATATAGTAGAAAAAGTAGTCCATGTATTTCGATAATTCTTTGGTGTGAATACTTTCTTGATTAAAATAAACAATTTAATTAATATTAAGAACGTAAACATCAAAACTTGTGTAACAAGATGTATTCAATAAAGTAAAATTTTTTTTATAAAATAATGAGGGAATTATTCCCTTTTCTACAACTTCTTTACAAAGTGCCATCCTTTCCACGTTTTGTTGTTGTGCATTAAAAAGTTTTTACTAACTCAGTTGAGTGTCGATAGAATTATAAAGTTTTTCGAAAAGCATCCGTCAAAATACCCGAAGGAAAACCTGGAACTGGAAGCTTTTAAACTGAAATTTCTATCTCTCAATTTCAATCACCCATCTCGGCACTTTATTAATTTTTTTATTATCGTGTCTAATTAAGTTTTTTTAACTCAACGATGAAAATTGAGTTGCTGCTTGTATTCGCATTGTTATATTTGCTGTTGGGGTAGGTAGTTTCGAAAATTAGGAACGGAAACCGTGACCGAAACTATAATACGTTGTACGACGACACAATTGATGTGTTTTGGTTCTGTCTACTTGCGCTGATTTTCCGCTTTGCCGGACCGCCCGATGAATAGGTCTATTAATGCCGGTGGAATTAACGGACATTGGGTACAAATTGACGGTGATGAAGCTTCTCTCCTACTCCTACTAACCAATCTACTAACTACCCTACTAATGCCAAGCTGTTTTCGACCCACGAACAACATCGATTTAAAAACTTTCAAGTTCACCAAATTTTTTTTGTATTATAAAAAATCTAGATCATTAATTTTCTCGTCAACTTTTGACATCAATTTTTTTTCTTCCCCTTTTATATAATTAGTAAAATACCAACGTAAACAACCCATTACTCATTTATTAATCTAATTTTCCTTCATTTCCACTCGAAAGAAAAAAAGAAAAAGTGTTTCCGGGGACGGGCCGAAAATCTCCGTCTCTTTTCCTCTTGCTCTCGTTGTCTCATTTCGTATTTCTTCTTGACGATATCTTTTTGGTCGATCGGTCTCGAAAAGAATTGTGTTCGGGATAAGGAAAAGAAACGTAGGGTCACCAGGAAACTGGGTGGGGAACATTACTAATGAATTCCATTTTGACTTGACCTCCCTCGACGCTGCTTGATACGATTCCTTTTTCCTAAAATGGTTTTCTTTTCTTATTTTTTTTTTATTTTGTTAGCCGTGACGTAAATATTTATTAATGGATAAATAAATAAATATAAATTAAAAAACTATTCATCGTGCTTTTTGAATTTTCTTATACATTTTCAATCGATTGTTGGAATGAAATGAAACGAAGTGAAGCTCTACCTCTTGACATTCTCTATCGAGTTTATATATAAAACCGGACCGTGTAGGTATCGGTTGTTGCTTCGTTTATCTATATATACCTATAGATACATGTACGAAGTGTTGTGCAACGAAATTAAACATCTAACGAACGATCACAAGCTCGTCGGTTGCCTTCGATTTACGGCCGGTTGAACTCTATAAGGGGGCCTAAGCGCAGCACCTGTCGATTGATACTCAAAGGGTTCCCCTGGAATCCATACCCAGCTCTGAAGGACGAACCTTAAAAAACTAATAAAATACTTTTTGAAGCCAAAAATTACAAACTTTTGGGATGATTTGTGGCCAAAAAAATGTTAGCTCCTCGTTAGCGTGTTGCTTTAACATATCCACTAAGTACCATCGTCTCTATATTTCAGCAATATATTTCCATTTTTTTCACTAAAAGTGAGGTTAAGTTTTTGATGTAAATCTTTAATTCAATAATTTGGGCAAAAATCACTTCCTGGGAACTAAAATTATTTAAAACAAATAGATTGGGTATTAATAAACGTATTTTAACGAGTTTACCGGTCCATTTAAACTTATTTTTTCGTAAAATTATAATTTTAGGATGAAATATAAGCGGTGGATTTAAAACGTCAAAAACACGACTTAATACCGGTGATTAACACTAGATGGGGTGAGTTGATGAAGAAGGATTTTTATTAATAATAAAAAAAATGATGTAGAAATTAAAATATTTACCGAAATTACGAAAAAAATGTTAAACAAATATTAATTAATACCGAGTTAATATAATAAATAAATAAAAATGGGAAAAAGCGTCAATCGAACCCAACTCAACCCAATGACCTTGATTCTAAAAATAGCTTCGTGTTTAGAATCTGATTATAAATAAATTTGTGAATTAGTAACACATAGATTATGGAATTAATTAATTAATAAAATCGACTCACCATCTCGTAGTTTTAATAAATCACCCCGATTTTCTTCAATTTTAATTTTAAATTGACCGGAAAAGTTGGGTTATGTTTGTGACGTATCAACTGAATAATTTAGGGGGGAAATCACTTCGTGGAATTTAAAACCGGTTAAAACAAATAGCTCGCGTGTTCCAAAACGTATTTTTAATAAAATTACACGTTTTTTTACCAATAAAAACAGCCGATTTAAAAAAAGCAACTAGTGGTTGTAAAAATGTAAATCGCGATTTAATATAGGTCGGCTATCGCTAGATGGGGCGAGCAAATGTTAAATTTAAATTAAAACAAAAAGATTTAAAAAAATAATTCAATTTTAACATTTTTTTTTTTAAATATTTAAGTTTAAGCATCACTTTAATTAGTTTATCGTTAAAGTAATATTTAATAAATTTTTAATGTAAATCGATTTAGTTATTATTTTATGTTGGTATTAAATTATGATAACGTGGAAGGGTGAAAAAGTCAAATTAGTGTTTAAAATGTTTTAAAATATTTCTAAATAAAATTAATTTAATACAGTAATATAGTTAATTTTGATTTATAAAAACGTAATTAACTTTGTGATTAAGATCTTAATTAATTTATTAAATTAATTTCTTAATAATTAATAAATTAAAAATTAGTTTGACTTAATTTGACTTTTTAGTACATAAGCGTCCGAAACGTCAAATTAACGTCAAATTTGAGAAAGAAAAGTGTCTTTGGATGTACATTTATAAGTAAGATATTGTTGTAATAAAACTTTAGTGTAAAATAACGGTAATTAATGATATGTGTTAACATTTAAAAATAGTAGATTCTTAGGTATCGGTATAACTCAACCGAGAAACACGGCTTTGTATTCGGGGGCTCATCTATTTCAACCATCAATCCGCGTCAATCCTAACGCCGGAAGTAGTTACCGTGACACCCTGTAGATTTATTAACCGGGTTCTAATGACCCTATCGAGTCGTTTCCGGTTCACTAGAAGTATTACGAACGAGAACAACCCAACGAAACCAACGTCGTTATTACCCTTTTAAAAGTTTTTTATAGAACATTTAAAAATAAATTATTTTCCGATCAATGACAAGAAAATTATAATATTTATGATTCCTTTTGATTCATAATGGATGTTACTACGAAGTTACTAAAGTTTATTTCGTAATGGTGCGTTATTTACAAAGTTATCGATCGATATTTCTTTTATTAATAATTGATTTCTATACACACAAGTTACTTTGTTATTGTTGTACGTTTCGCCTTGGTTTTACCTTGTCATGTATGCAATTTCGGATTAGAATTAAACTTTATAATATGTATAACGTCAGGTTGAGTTCGAAAGCTTAAACTAAGTTGCATATAATGTAAACTAAACAATAATCCTTCGTATAAAGGGTTACGTTGTATCACTTTGACGGACGTTTAATAATTGTTATTTTTTCTTTTATAGATATGGAATCGCATCAGAAAATTCTAAGATGAACGACTCCTTTCCCATAATCCACCTAAATTACAACTTTGAAAACTTCACAATGTCTCCAAACCTAACAAATTCAACAGCGGAACAAGATGCATGGGAAATGTGGACTGCTTTAGTGCAAGATAGGGCAGTGGTAGTATCGTTGCTTTTATTATTCTCAATGGCGACGGTTTTCGGGAATATGTTGGTAATAATGGCTGTCGTAAGAGAACGATATCTTCACACTCCGACGAATTACTTTATAACTTCATTAGCAGTCGCTGATTGTTTAGTAGGATTGGTCGTAATGCCTTTTAGTGCTTTGTACGAAGTTTTAGAACACACGTGGTTCTTTGGAAACGATTGGTGCGATATCTGGAGATGTTTGGATGTACTTTTTAGTACCGCTTCGATTTTAAATTTATGCGTAATCTCTTTAGATCGATACTGGGCGATAACCGATCCGATAACTTACCCAATGAGAATGACAAAAATAAGATCAGCCCTTCTTATCGCAGCTGTATGGGTCTGTTCGTCAGCGATATCTTTTCCAGCTATTGCTTGGTGGAGAGCCGTCCGAACGGATCCAATACCCGATTGGAAATGTCCATTTACAGAACATTTGGGATATTTAATTTTTTCATCGACGATTTCATTTTATTTACCATTATTCGTCATGGTGTTTACTTATTATCGAATTTATCGAGCTGCTGTTGCCCAAACGAGATCGTTAAGGTTAGGAACGAAACAAGTTCTTCTCGGCGCTGGAGAATTGGAGTTAACTCTTAGAATACATCGCGGGGGTGGAACATCTTGTAAAATTCCCCCAACTCCAGATACTCGCAATTTGTATTCAACTCAAGAAGATGAACCATTAACAGCTTTACAAAATAACGGTTTGGCGCGTGTTGCTTCAACCCGATTGGGGCCACATAGTAAAAACTTTTCATTGAGCCGAAAGTTGGCCAAGTTCGCGAAAGAAAAGAAAGCGGCAAAAACACTCGGTATAGTAATGGGGGTGTTTATTGTATGTTGGTTACCGTTTTTCGTTGTGAACTTATTGAGTGGTTTTTGTCTGCAGTGCATATGGCACGAAGAGATTGTTTTAGCGGTTGTCACATGGTTGGGGTGGATCAATTCGAGTATGAATCCCGTGATTTATGCGTGTTGGAGCAGGGATTTTAGAAGGTGAGTAAAAAAATTTGTATTTGTTAAAATTTTCCCACCTCCAAAGCAGTCCTAAAACTTTCCCCCCTCTCCCAAACGAAACTTCGTTCATTAAAGTTTCAAATTTTCGCTGAAATTTTATTTCTGAACTTTCGGCAAAGTTAAAAGCCGGACTTGTCAATCCCATCTGGGTGGGAATCAAAAAAGATTTTTACGGAATAATCCTCAACCACATCCAAACTTCTTTTGCCCTTCCCCACATTTTCCAATCCGTAATTAGTAAAAAGCTATTTTTCCGCCCCCTCCTTTTAGAACTCTACAATCCTGAAGTGAATTCGCAATTATCGCAAAGTTTCTTCGGGTACCTTCGAGTGGGGTCGAAATTAAAAAAAAAAAAATAAAATAAAAACTGTTTGGAGGGTTACGGGTGCGCGGTTTAAGTTATTTATTACGCCACTTTTCGTCGTTGTCGTGGGTAAAAACGATTTTCCACACGTACACACACACACATTCGGGCACAGTTGGATGGGGGAAACGCGTAAATCATACGACACGAGGAGAAACGAGGAGACGAGGACGTCGCGACGTGGTGCGCTTTTTGCACTAGACCCATTTAAATGTGCATACATTACTTACGTTGATGGTAGGGGGCAAAATTACCTAAATCGATTTTTTTTTAAACATATTTTATTCTTTTATTACTATAATGGAAGAAAATAATGATAATAAAAATTAAATTATACGTTATAAACTCGTTTATGATAATTTATTTAAGAGTTTATTTTCTGCATTAAATTTTTTTTTCTTGTTATACACTATATGTATGTATTTCTATGAAAAATTAAAAAAAAAATCGGTGCAATCATTACCACACTCATTTGAGGTGATTTGAGTTACGTAATGAAGTTCATTACCGCACTGGTTTCATTATGTAACGCATTTTTGGCCCAACAGACTTAATTTATTGAAACGAGCAACATTTATTATAAACATTAATAGTTATGTTTTTACATTTCGAAACACTTATTCCAGATGAGTAAACATGTTATTGAAACTGACATTAATTCAAAATTGTGACAATAGACCTTTTTAAAGAAATTGATTTTTAAGTAATTTTTAGCACTCGTAGATAAAATATTGTATATCACACGTGGGCTAGACCATAATTACAGTACTCGTATGATTACAATGAGTACAATTCTCCACACTCATACAGTAATTATGTTTCTAGCCCACTTGTAATATAAATAACTAGTAATAGAAATTTCTGGAATTGTACTGGATGCAGAGCTGGGACGGATACAGGAAAAAAGTATTCGAGTACCGGATACCGGATACTTACAATGTATCCGGATACTTTTTAAAAAAGTACGGATATTTTCTCCATAAAAGTATCCGGATACTTGTATCATGTATACTGCAGTTTTCGGATACATTCTCGGATACTTTTAAAATGACCTAAATTATTGTTAAACTAATATATTGTCATCCATATTTTACTTATAGTGACTCCTAATCCTTTCTCCTATATTTTTTCCGAGTGGTCTCTCGGTGGGGAAATTTCGTGTACACTTGCTAGGGAATGAGTTCTTTGAATTTTTTCTAAATTTAGAAAATGAATTTAAAAAGAATTTCGAATTTAGCATTTAAATTTTAGTCGGAGAGAGAGCCCTCGATTTTCCTACAATAATAAAAGAGAAGAACAACTAACTTCCAACATGTAACGCCACAATTATTGATGTAGTCACAAAAGATGTACAATAGTAAGAGAAACTGAAAAAATATGGGGCTTCAAACACGCTGGTGTATATGTATGTGTGTAATAATAGAATATTAAATAGAAAAACTCAATTAAAAAGTATCCGAACACCGAAAAAAGTATCCGGATACCGGATACATTCAGATTTAGTCACGGATACCGGATACCGGATGCAAAATTTGAAAAGTATCCGGATACAGAGTATCGGATACTCAAAAAGTATCCGGATACTGTATCCGGATACTACCCAACTCTGACTGGATGGATACCACATTGTAAGCAAAAATCTGGAATTACTTAAGTTAAGTTCCAATCTTCAAAAACAAGTCTAGAATTACAACTAACAGGCACCATATAACAAAATAGTGTTTGGACTTACACTAACCGAAGTAATTAACTAGAAAAAGTCTGTAATTACATTGGCAGGATTCCTGATTCTACGAAAAAACTTGTAATTTTATAGGAAAGACTTCATACTTTAAGAAAATTTCTGGAATTATACTAGATAGACGCTATACTGCAAGCGGAAGTCTGGAATTACTGAGAAACTCAAATTACAAGATAAAATCTGTAACTGCATTGACATCTTAATTGCATCTTCTTTCTAAGATCCAGACTTTAAGAATATTTCTGGAATGGTACTAGATAGATGCCTTCCTGCAAGGAAAAGTTTAAAATTACTCTAGTTAGTCTTTAAACTTCTAAATAATGGTGGAAGACGTGCAAGCTAGATATTGGAGATGGGTGTTTGGGGTGGCGAGAGAAACACCGGGGTATATAGTGAGGGAAGAGGTAAAGGTGGATAAGGTTAGAGTGGAGGCGGGCAGGAGAGCAGTGAAATATGAAGAAAAAATAGAAGGGAGGCCAAACTGCGGGATCTTGGGTGTGTGTTGGAGGGAAACTATTATAGACTATTATAAACTATTATAGACGAGCGGGCTACTCGGTAACTGAGATAAATAGTAGACGAAGGGTGGGTAGGGAGATGTGGAGGGAGTTGAGAGATAGGGACCGAGATGTGCAGAGACAGGAAAGGACACAAATAAAAGAGGGAAGGTATAACGAAAGGTACAGGGACATAATTACGGAGGGGCTGCCTAAATACTTGTTATTGGAAGGAGATGAGGAAGGGAAGAAGTTGGTGGCTAGGTTCCGTTGTGGAAACGAGGAGAAAGCTAACAGATACTGGATGCCCGATGAAGAGAGGTGGTGTAGGCTGTGCAGGGACGAATGGGAAACGTTGGAACATATGTTGAATGAGTGCAGTGAGTTGAGGGTGGAGAAGATGGACCGAGAGCAGATCTTAGGAGAGGGGAAACGATGGATGAGAATGGATGTGGGGGTGAGGAGACAAAGGGATGGAGGAGAGGATGATTGGGCCGAGGATGTGAAAATGGAGGAAGAGGGTAGAGGGTGAAAATAATATTTTAATAATGTAAAGAATTTATTGTAGACAGATTGTTGTATACAATAAACTCTTAATTAATTACATAAAAAAATCGTTTGAAATTGTTCTGACCACAATCTAAATTTGTTGCTAATGTCAGGAACTGCGCTGACCGAGTTCTAAACTGCAAGAAAAACTCTATAATTGCCCTGACATAACGCAGCACTGTAAAAACATGTCTCTAATTACTTAAGCAAGTCTGGAAACTTTAAAAAGTTGCTTGAAATTACAGCAATTACGTATTATGTAGCAAAAAAAGTTTGGATTTAGTCTGGTCAAAGTCCAAACTTGATAAGAATGAATTCTAAACAGCAAGAGAAAATCCGTAATTACACTTACAGGATTGTGGCCTGTAAGAACATGTTTGTAGTTACTCCAAACTGAATGAAAATGTCTAAATACATATTATACTACAAGAAAATGTCTGAAATTGTTCTACTTGGACTAAAAACTTCAAACGTAAGTCTAAATGTACAACGACTACTATAGGTACCTTAAATTAACATAGCATTTGGACTTATTCCAGAAGATGATGAATTTAAAAGAAAAAGTTTCTAATTGCATTAACAGGATTTTGGACTTTACAAACACTGGAACTTTACTTACACTGGAAAAACGCCAGAGTCTCTGGAATTGTTCTAGTTACACCAACAGTTCTCGAAAGCAAGTTCATTACGTGCCGAATTCCAAACTGCAAGAGAAAGTTTGTAATTCCATTGGCAGAATTTCTCTAAGTAAGAACAAGTCTCTAATTACTTAAGCATGACTTGAAACTTTAAAAAATGAAATTTTTGGCAATTTTGCCTATAAACTATGTCAGATAATAGTTAACGTCAGTAGGTAGATGATAGAGTCCGGAGATATTAGATACCATACTGTAAGCAAACATCTGGAATTATTTAGGTTGAGTTCCAACTTCAAAAACATGCCTGGAATTACAACTAACAGGTGCCATATAATAAGATAGTGTTTGGACTTATTCTAACCTAAAGTAACAAATAATCAGAGAAAGTCTGTAATTATATTGGCAGGGTTGGGTTGGGTTGGGTTGGGTGCATCTTGTTTCTAAGATGTAGACTTTAAGAATATTTCTGGAATGGTACTAGATAGATGCCGTGCTGCACGAAGAAGTTTGGAATTAATCTAGTTACTCCTCAAACTTCCAAAATAATTTCCAAATTAGACACTCTATGCACTAAAAAATCGTTTAGTATTGTTCTGAGCACAAACTAAACTTGTTGCTAATGTTTAGTACCGCGCTTGTCAATTTTCAAGCTGCAAAAGCAAGTATGTAGTTGCACTGACAGAATTTGCTATTGTAAGAGCACGTCTCTAATTACTCAAGCAAGGCTTGAAACTTTAAAAATGTGCCTGGAACTACAATAATTACGTATGTTGTATGTATGTAGTTTTAAGTGAGGTTGGTTAAAGCACTTAGGCCCCAGCGGTCCCTTTCTACATCCTCATGGTTTATTTCGGCCATGGGCTGCAAACTCCACAGCCCAGAAACTTGAACAATTATGTATTGTGTAACAAAAAATTTTTGGAATTAGTTTGGCTAAAATCAACATTTGATAAAAATGTTAGGAATTACGCTGGCTAACTTCCAAACTGCAAGAGAAAATTAACACACAGTTATTCCCAGCATTAACCCCTCCATTTTCCGTTGCATCACTTGTATCATCTTAATGTTTTTCTTGGTCATCGGTAAACTCTCTGATCTATATGTCAGTACATTGGTTAAAAACCTTCCTTTTTGGAAGGGTTATTCGAATACTGTTCTTCGGCTAATTCTTCGCTCGATTTCGTGTGTTTGGTT